GGGTTGGGGGCTTTGCCATGAGCCCCTGTTGGCTGCCCACTCTCCCAGCCCCGCCCCATGGCTGCCCCACCTGACCCCAGTGTCGGTTCTTTAAAAATAAATAAATAAATAAATAAATAAATAAATAAATAAAAGCCCCCACTCACCAGGTGCTACAGCGACTGTCGGGACCTCTGGGGGCTTGTGACAGAGCCCCACACAGTGCAGGGCAGTGGGGGGCAGCAGGGATTGCCCCCCTGCCTGGCAGCAGCTGGTGACTCTGGGGCTCTTAAATAAATAAATAAATAAATAAATAAAAAAAGAGCGGGGAGCTGGTGCCAGGCAGGGAAGCCATTGATGGGACTGTCCCCCAAATCGTCCGAATCCAAAGCGAATGCTAACTACTTCGCACAGGCCTAATATCTACGTGCAGCACACCACAGGACAGCAGCAGTATGTGGACCCCAGCAGACTGCCAACTGGAAGTGGACCACCTAACTGCCACCCCCTGCTACACCTAAAAGTACCCTAAGGACCTTCCCTACCCACAATTATATCCTGCATGTCACTATTTGTAACTATGTATGTGCCTACAAATCAACTCCCTACTCAAATGCAGTATTGTTGTGCAAGGTTTCCTGTATATTCTTTCCCTCTTTCCACCCCTCCACCCCCCAGGCTTCGTTGGATGCATGTTTTATATGCAACTTAGTTGCAGTCACACCCCTACCCCAACCCTCTACTATGCAGCTCCTTGCTCATGTTTTCTGTATTTCCTTATGTCTCAAACTTTGTCTTCTTGAACTTTAATATTTTTGGCAACAAGGGGATGGTGTCAGGGCTGGCTCTGGCCCTCCCAGTGCTGGCCTAGTATTGTAATACTTCCAGGCCTAGTGCCAGTTCCCTGTGGAGGGAACACCTGCCCATTTTTTTTAAGGCGCACACACACACACACACACACACACACACACACACACACACAGAGTTCCCATCAGGATGTTTGCCCAATATGGCCTGTGTGTTTTATAGTCATGGTCAGCGTTAGCTGAATTTAATCTTCATAATTGGTTTCCATTACTAAGCACAAGCTGCTTTTGGCAGCAGTTTAATAACAGACAATGTATTTAATGAGGTTTCCTTATATGCGATTGTAAGATGACAAGCTTTTTTCCTCCATGCTGATGGGGGGGGGGGGGGGGGGGGGGCGGGACACGACCTCATCTGGTAGTCAAGTAAATATGGTAGTTTTCCTTATATTTTTCAAAGAAAGAAAGAAAAGAAAACTGCTGCTAAATAATGTCTTGCACTAAAATGCAACACATTTACTAAGGAGACTAACTCAAGAGTCCATAGCTGAAATGCCCATAAATTAATCTTGTCAAGGGAAAAAATGAACAGAAACATCCAATATGCATGTACAAAAATATCAAATTAAAGTCTTCCGGGATCTATTTCCCATTTACTCTAAGGCCCCTTTACACTATTTTTGCAGTATCATGTGGACTTACATTTTTAGGTATACCAAGTATCCAGTCTCGCACTCTTAAAAAAATATTGGACCAGATTTTTTCAAATTATAATAGTTTCTTCTTTCTTACTAAAGACTATAAAAAAACCCTAAATCCTAAGTTTTTAGCTAGTGCTGCTTATGAGTTGTAAGAGCATAAAATTTTAGTTGGAACATATGAGGGCAATTTTTTTTCACACTCATATAACCTAGCATGGGTCAAACTTTCCAAAATAAATAGTGCAAATATGATACATTTCAGCGCAAAATAATTTGTTTGAGCAACTAAAGTTTGGAATATGTAACTCAGCCCATTCACATACCTCAGGTCAGACCACCAAATCTTTAAACCATATTTTAAAATATTGTTTCCCAAAACAGGTTTTATCATAACATCCATTGACCTATTTTCCTGCCTTACATTTCAGACACCACTAGATATCTACGTAAAAAAGTGTGTGAAGTAATGTGCCTCCCACACTTCAGTAATGGATTCCTTAGAAATCAAACTATAAACTATCATTTTTATTATTTGTGAGTTAAACACAAAAAACCTAGGAAGAAAGTCTGCTTGATTGTCTGCATTGCTTCTTTTTTGTTAGCCATTATTCAGAGCCAAGTGTTGGCTCTGGATTTAGGATCCAGATACCTTGTTCTGGGGAGACCCACCCTCAGACTGACCACTACCTTTCCATTCGATAATACAAATTTATTGATACACAGTGATAACAGAAAAGAAGCAATACAAACAATCAGGCAGTCCTATAGAAAATACTCTATTTCCCCATCAGTTTCTGTTATTTTTTTGTTTTTTCTTGTTTCATTACTTCATTCAGATACCTAAGAAATGGGACAAATATATGGGATTGCTTATACAGATTATTTATAGAAGTAGAAATGACACGACACAATGGATCAGAAACAAAATGATAATAAGGCAAACAGGGGACAAACGCAACTCTTTGATTTAGAAAGACCTGTTTTTTTTAAAAAAAGGTCTAATATGAACGGTGGTAATGGAAGGTCCCTTGGAAAATGAAGTCCTCTGTTAACCGACAGAACAGCTACAGCCTGAAGGGTGAAGTGCAAGCTTCCCCACCTTTCTCTACCAGGCTAGGGACAGGAGTTGCACATAAACAGGTTTAAGTGATCATAAACTGGTGGTAGGATAGTAAGTTTAGTGGGGATGAGGTAAACTCAGTGAATGACTGCCATCTCAATAGCCAGCACAGGTAAGGCATCAAAGACAAAGGACATCTCACTGTTCTGCTATGTTGGAAGAAGCAGTAGCTTTTACTGCCTCATGGGCACATCTATATGTCTCCTGGCCCCGTGTAGATTGGAAAGGGACCTGATGTGCACAGGGCCAGGAGAGAGCTGCCCTTGAAGGGGGTAGAGCTCTCCTGGCTCCGTGCTCAACCAGACACACAGCTGCCAGCAAGCCCCCTGCCCATTAGGGAGTTGCTGGGAGCCGTTTCAGGTGTCAAACAGCTGTGGGTGAGCCTCCTGCCAGGCAGAAAGGCACAGGGCTCACCAGCAGTTACTGCGCTTGGTGTAGAGCCAGCTCCTGCAGGGAGCAGTGGGAGAGGCTGAGAATCCAGCCCTTGCCTGTCCCATGGACCACCCAATTCTGCAAGGAGCTAGCTGGCCGCTCAGGGGAGCAAGAAGGGGCTGGGAACCCAGCCCTTGCCTGTCTCCCAGAGCATCTCCACATAGCACAGAGCTGACTGCTCAAAGGAGAGACTGGGGAGCTGCTCCGGAGGACAGGCAAGGGCTGGATTCCCAGGCCTCACTTGCTCCCCAGAGCAGCCAACTCTGCGTGCAGCTGGATGATCCAGGGACAGGTAAAGGCTGGATTCCCAGCCCCTGCCCACTCCCTGGAGCAGCCAATTCTGTGCCACATGGAGCTGTTCCAGGCAACAGATGAGGGCTGGATTCCCAGCCTCCGCTCACTCCCTGGAGCAGCCAGCTCCACACTAGGAGTCAGGACAGGGGGCAGAGAGCTCCCCAGTCCTGGCGCTTATCAGCTCTCAGCTCCCAGGGTGAGCCGGGGAACTAAGCTGCACCAGGACCTAGGACAGAGGTCTGAGGCAGCCAGCAGTCCTCACTGCACTGCAGCCCAGCTGCACAGCCCACCGGGGTTGGGGAAGGGGACAGAGGTGTCTGTTCACACAATGAGTATCCAAGGTGACTGCCACCCCCCACCCCTTGCTGTTAATTGGCTGTGAGGGCTGTCCATCATACAGCCCTGCTCCTCTCCACCAATTGGTGGCAAGGAGCAGGGCTGCATGACGGACAGCCCTCACAGCCAATCAGTGGCAAGGCTATATGATGGACCATCCTCACAGCCAATCAGCGGTGAGGGGCAGGGACCCTCAGCCAGTCAGAGGTGTGGAGGGGCCCATCACACTCAGATTGATAGATGTCTGGGTCAGAAGGGATCTTAGCAGATCATCAAGTCTGACCCCCTGCCCTTGGTAGGAGTCTGACCCCTTGCTCTGGGCAGAAAAGAGTGCTGGGGTCAGATAACCCCAGCCAGGCACATGTCTAGCCTCCTCTTAAAGACCTCCAAGGTGGGGGAGAGCACCACCTCGCTTGGAAGCCCATTCCAGATTCTGGCAACCCTTACCATAAAGAAGTTCTTCCTGATGTCTAACCTAAATCTGCTCTCCATCAGTTTGTGGCTGTTGTTCCTAGTTATTCCAAGGGGTGCCCTGGTAAACAGAGCATCTCCTATTCCTTGCTGCCCCCTCCCTGATGAATTTGTAGGTGGCCACAAGATCACCTCTCAGCCTTCTCTTACGGAGGCTGAAGAGATCCGGGGCCCTCAATCTCTCCTCGTAGGGCTTTGCCTGTAGGCCCCTAACCATACGAGTGGCTTTCCTCGGAACTCTCTCGAGGTTGTCCACATTCCTCTTGAAGTGTGGCACCCAAAACTAGACACAGTACTCCAATTGCAGTCTGACCAATGCCACAAAAGGGGAAGTATCACCCCCCTGGACCTCTTTGTCATGCATTTGCTAATGCATGAAAAAGTGCGGTTAGCCTTGTTGATCACTTTGTCATATTGACAACTCATGTTCATCTTGGTGTCAACAATGATCCCAAGATCCCTTTCTGCTGCTGTGCTGCTGAGAAGGTCATTCGCCAGCCTGTAAGCATGCTGGCAATTCCTTATCCCTAGGTGCAGCACCTAGTATTTGTCCTTATTCAACTGCATCCTATTCTGTTCTGCCTACTTTTCCAACCTGTCCAGATCTGCCTGGATTCATTCCCTACCCTCTAGTGTGTTCACTTTACTCCATATTTTGGTATCATCTGCGAATTTGGACAGAATGCTTTCCATGCCCTCATCCAAGTCAGTGATGAAGACATTGAACAGCACTGGTCCAAGGACCAAGCCTTGTGGGACTCCACTGCCCACATCTTTCCAGGTTGATATCGACCCACCCACCACCACTCTCCGGGTGCAACCCCTAAGCCAATTTGCCACCCACCTGACTGTGTAATCATCTATATCACAGCCACTCAGTTTATCTGTGAGAATACAATGAGATACCATATTGAAGGCCTTCTTAAAATCCAAGTAGATGACATCTACCTCAATTCCTGTGCCTCAGCTTTTTGTGACCTGGATGTAAAAGGAAACAAGGTTAGTCAGGCAGGATATACCTGCTATGAATCCATGCTGGTTGCCCTTTAGCATGGTTTTCCCTGCTGGATTCCCACAAATGTGATCTTTAATTTTTTCAAAAGTTTTCCCAAGGACAAAGGTGAGACTAACTGGTCTATAGTTAGCTGGTGCCTCCTTCCTCCCCTTCTTAAAAATAGGGACCACATTAGCACTTTGCCAGTCCTCTGGGACCTGACCTAAGCACCATGAGTGGTCAAACAGCCGTGCCAGTGGTTCTGCTATGACACTGGCCAATTCCTTCAGTACCCTTGGATGAAGATCATCCGGGCCTGCTGACTTAAACACATCCAGCCCCTCCAAGTGTCCCTTCACTAAGTCGGTGCAAACAGTTGGTGGGCTGGTTTCCCTTTTGTACCTATCTATAATCCAACTGGGAGATTTGTCCTGATCCATGTTCAGTAATACAGAGGGGAAAAACTCATTGAAGAGCTCAGCCTTGTCCCCCCTATCTATCACTAATTGCCCTAGTTTGTCCTGTAGCGGTTCTATGCTATCCTGCACCTTCCTTTTACTCCCTATGTATCTGAAAAAGGACTTTTTGTTGTCTTTAATTGTTGTTGTCAGCCTAAGTTCCATTTCTGTTTTGGCCTTTCTGATTGCCTCCCTGTAAGTGTGGGCCAAGTGTATACTCTGCCTTGGTATCTACTCCCTGCTTCCACAGTCTATATGCCTCTTTTTTGCTTTTAGGTTTTCCTGGATTTCCCTGCTCAGCCAAGAGGGTTTCTTGGCCCCTTTGCCCGCTTTCCTTCACAATGGGATTGTCTCCTTCTGTGCCTGTAAGATTGCTCCCTTTAGGAACCACCACCCTTCCTGGACTCCCATGTCACCAATTCTCCTGTTCTTCAGTGCCTCACTAACTTATCTCCTGAGCACACTGAAGTTAGTTTTTCTGAAGTCTAGCACTCATGCCCTACTGGTCATCTTTCCCACCCTACGCCAGATAGTGAAATGGCTGCCAGGCCCATGTTTTCCCCATGAAATTAGCCAGCAGCCACCACAAGTTCAGTAGGTCTGTACCTATAAAGGATGAATATTCTGGTGATAGTGTCTTTCCAGTATTCACTAAATCTTTTTATAATCCCATAACACATGTACTAAAGATCCTAAGGGTTTATAATAGCATCATCACTCACTGTTATTAAAAAATACCAGTTCACAGCATTCTGTTTAGAATCCAAATACAGTTTTGTTGGTTTTGCATATTTTGGATTTTATGTCTAAAGAAATGTTTTGGTTGTAAACATATATTTTATCATATGTCAAGTCAGACAGTAGTGTGCTTATATCCAAGTCCTAGGGTTCTTTAATCTTAGGTAGATAACAGTCTTATCTGGTAAATATTAATAGAGTTTAGCAGCTGAGCTACTGTTTATTACCACCTTCTCCAAGAAGAATATGACCTTAGAATTTCCTAGAATTCTATTCCAATTAAGATTTCCAAAGCCCATGCTTCACTTGTAAATAGCACTGCAGAGGTGACCTTTTTAAACCAAATTTGTCTTGTATGCTTCCAAATAATGTAGGAATCCTTAATGAAAAAAATGCATTTAAAATGCTTTAATGCAACAAGGATACATTACCATTCTATAATCTCTATCAGTGTATCTATAACATTTATTTCACAGCATAATAAATCTGTGCGCCAAAGCAATCAAATGTCATTCACGATTTTCAGGAAAAAAATCATGGTATAACATAAGATTGGGAGTTGCACATACAATGGGCTTGATTTTGCTCTGATTTATACCAGGTTTAAGCAATGTATTTTCATGGAGTTGGACAGAAGGAAAAGAATGTCCAGCAGTTGGCCCCTAGGACAGACCAAACCAGAATCTCAATCTCTCTGTGTCTTAGTCCCCCAGGCAAAAAAGAGTACTTCATTACCTCACAATGATTTTGTGAGGATAAATACATTAAATCTTGTCCAGCACACAGATATTTTAATGGGGACCATATTAGTACCTTAGCTAGATTAGCTGGTTTAGATAAGTAAAGTAGATAAAGGCAGAATGGAGTTATTTTTTTTTCTGTTATTCTCACAGACATACCAGCTTTATGGCATTTTATAACCCTGGCTCTTTAAAAATCTTTGTGGCCCCTGGCAAATTGCTTAACCGCTGTCTCTCCTCTTCCTCGGCTGTGAAATAGGGATAATAAGCACCTAGTTTCTATGTTCTCAGAGTGCTTTAAGGATTGAATGGCTAATATTCATATAAATTGCAGAGATGAAAAGTGCTAAGCATTACATGAATGAAAAAAGTTTACAACTAACCACTATTTAATGAATAGTCCTGCCCAACTCACAATACTGTGTTTTTGGCTCTTCCCGATTCCCTTGCCCCTCCCAGAATAATTTTTTATACATATTTATATTCCCAATAGGACATCATAAAACTTTTTACTATGTACTTTTCTGACATCACTTTCTTCCCTTGACTAACCATAAGGAAGTAAGCACCCATTTTTACAAGGCTATTGCAGGCTTTTATGCATTACAAAAATGTGTCAGTCTTTTTGCTATTGTAGTCCCATGCTTTGAATGCAAACACTGGAACCTTGCAATGGGATTTTCAGTACCATCAGGTCACTGTTATCCAACAATATTCTATTCCATTATAATTTGGTCAAGCTGTTCATAATAAATCCTTCTCTCAGGTATTGATTTTTCTCATTTATTTCTGAAATGCAATATAAATGTATGTATTTAATCCCTTAATGGACCAAATCATACAGTCTTTGCTCAGGTAAAACTCCCACTGGGAAATTATGCATGTCCTAAGCAGTTTAGTTAAATCATACTAGTTCCTGTTCATAGTGGACTAAATAAATATAAGAGCCCCAAGTCCACTCTACTCACCAAAGCTGGGCTGATTATTTCTGTGCTTTCCAGTAGCTCCCATGTCCAACTGGAGCAGGACTACTCTGTGATATTCCTTATGATATTCTGGCATCTCTATTTCTTGTCCCAGTGGGATTTTGGAGGTGAAGACATTGAAAATATCTGTGGAAATAGCCAAGGAAAGAGTCACACAAACATTCAGACCTTTAAGGAAAAAGGTCAGATTGAGAGATGGTCAATGGCCATATTGTGCCTATTATTTGATGATGACTCGGGTATCTCTTGCCAACATAGTAAATAGTAATGTGTCTTTGTGGTGGTGGCAATGGGAAGGGGGGTGGAGGAACCACTATTTTAAATATTCTTTAAGCGGTCTGTAAACATTCCCTGTTGCTAAATCAAGGTGGCAACTTGGAAGTCCTTTTTCTTTCTTGATAAGCAACAGAATAGAAGCTTATTCTCCATGAACAGGATTAAAAGGGGCTTGTGTATGGAGCTGGAAAATGGAATCTGTGGAAACTGAAAGGATGCACAACACTTATGAAAGTCCAGTTACTTAGAGCTTGTTCCAACACCTATGGAAGGCCATAGAAAGACTGAACTCAGGCCTTTATTGAGAGGCATGGATAAAGATTGTGGAACCAAGCACCTTTAAAAAAAGAAAGAAAGAAATCCTTGCCTCATCTTGCTTGTGCCTCACAGCAGATGTCAGAATCTCAGACCAGTAAGTCTTGTCTCACAATCCTTGCTGCTGTGAGTCCTTTGTAATTTTAATAATATTGTTTTGTCTGAACTTTAAAAGAGCCCAACATCCAGAAATGTCTGGCCCTAACTTCATATTTAGATAGTTAATTATCTCTATGCTCACCCACAAATTCGTTCAGTATATACAATACACCATGCTCCCCTATCGTTTCTATTTTATATTATTACTGTAAAAAAAAATCTTAAGAGTTTTGAGCTTTTATATGTCTATTAGCCAGTGGTAAAACACAACAACCTATAGTAACTATGGCTGCCAATACCATGCTCCTTGGTGTTCTAATTAGAACATGTTGGAGCAGACTCAATTAATTGAGCTGCTCTATGTTCTAATTAAAACACTGCAGTGTTGCCACAGTGTCACGTGTATTAAGCCCACACACATTTAAAAATGGCCTCAGGGCACTTTAACTGTGCAGGGGCTTAATACATGTGATGCTGCAGTGTTTTAATTAGAGTGGGTGCCCGGGGGCTGCCCTAATTAACCCCTCCCTCTCCCCCCATTTCCAAGCACATGTATAGGCAGCCTATGTGTTAGGAGCTGTTCTGGTAGTTCATGCTGCGAGACCATAATTTTCTAGACTTGGTTCCATCAGCCAAGTCAAAATCTCTCTTTCTTTGAGAACTAAACTTTTGTATTTTCACTGTGTTGGCAAAAACTCTCCTTTCCAAGAAGAGGAAATGTGTTTATCACTGACAAAAAAGAAAAGCCCATTGGAAAGCTACTCTGGTTGACAACCATTGTAATTATTGGAAGATTTCAGCTTTAATGAACATTACTGTGTCACTGAAAACCACTGAATACTAGAAGGATGCACACACATATGTATATAGCTATATATAATTACTTATAAGTTATACTATGTCTTCATTTTAAAGATATCTTCCCTTCTTGCTTACCCATTCCAAACCCCTAAACATATGTCTTTGATCTGCGTGAAAGGACAAGCATCTTACCTTGGGTCTAAACACATGAATAACTAAGCAAAGCTCCTGACATAGCAGAAAAAATTTTCACACACCTAAGACAAAGCCTAAGCACTGAAACAGAATAACTCAAATGAAAGACACCAAATGCAACATACTTCTAATTACAAATGGAATGTATAATCCTTCCTCTGCCATCCTCAGATATGCTCATCTGTTAGGCAGTAAGAATGAACCAATATAGCTGCTCTTAAGGGAGAATTCTTGGGGGTTGGGGTTTAGCTCTTTGGAGCTGTATTGTGCCTCCCTTCCCCATGGATGCAGAATGAAGCCAGATGGTGCCCTCCTCCCTGCACCACACCTGTACAGGGACCAGTAAGAATGTGGTGCACACAAGAGTGCAGCTTGTGCTGTCAGCAATGCCAAAAGCCCCACAAAGGTTGTTTCAGACAGAAAGTAGGTTGGTTCTTGGCCCCAGATGTTTGCAGAGAACAAGTGTTGGAACTACGGAGGGGGGGGAAGCTATCCCATATTTTCCTGGATGGTACATTTCTATCCTGTCCTTAGAGTGGCTGAGACATGCAAGAGCTGTAACTGACTCAATAGAAGTTTTCCCTCCTTTCTTCCCTGCTGGCAGCCATTATCTGTTAGGTATCTGGGCCCAGTGCCACCTTCTGAAGAGCATAAACAGATTAACTCAAGGCAACTGGGCTTTAGTTTGATCCCTGACACTGTCACAGTCACCCACACACCTCAAATGTGACCATTTTTAAATGTGTGGGGGCTTAATACACGTGACACTGTGGCAACACTGTGGATGCTGCCAGCAGGTTCAGGAGCCCTGAAGCAGAACATGCTGGCAGCGTCCACAGCTGACACTGCTACTCTCCCAGAGCCATGGAAGCTCCTGCCCAGAGCCCTGAGCTGGAACCTGCTGGCAGCATCAGCTATGCACACAGGCAGCAGCTTCTGCCACACTGGGCAGGCAGTACTGTTGGTTGTGACACCAATGGCAGGCTCTGTGCCTGGACTCCAGAACCTGCTGGCTGCACCCACAGCTGATGGCACCACTCACCCACCATAGCAGAAATCCCTGTCTGGGTCCACAGCTCAGATTCAGGGCTCCTGGTGAACTACTGCTCTGGCCGGGTTCTGGAGGGAAGGAGGGAGGGAGGGGGAGAGAGAAAGAAACAGACACAGACAGACAGACAGACGAGATGAGACAAGAGAGAGAGAGAGGGGAGGTGAAGTGAGGTACAGTGAGAGAGGCAAAAATAGATGCGACTTTCAACAGGTCCCCAAAACTCATTAAGTGGCCCTCCAGCCAAAATAATTGCCCACCTCTATGCTACCTCCTCCTAGGGCTCAGTGAAACCTGGTCCACAACACTTAGTACAAACTTCTGTCCCATTTGTCTCTCTCATAGTAGCAAATCCTCATGCTCTGAATGGAGTTGAAAACCCCAATGAGAGATGTCCAGCTTTGGAACCAATATCATGTTGCAGGAAAGCTCAGTCAATAACCTTTAAGAAGTCATGTAGCTGGAAAACAAGCCAACAAGAATCACTGTAGTCATTGGCAGGGTAAACAAAGAGAGGGGCCAAATAATGCCATAAAAGAAACAGGTATGCATAAAAGGTTTGGAGGAGCCACACCATCCTTGTGGGAGCTCCAAAAGAGCATTGGGCTGCCCAGAACTCCTGAGAGACACAGCTCATGTGCCACATGTCCTCCCATGCCATCTACACCCATGTGCCATCTTGCTGCTGCAGACTGTGGGATCCCCCTGGCACCTTTTGCAGAGCTCTCAGCAGCTCTCCAACTGTGTATGTGTGGTTGTTCCATACATAGTGGGAAAAGTTTCTTGCACCCAAGGAGATACCAGCTGCAACCTGACCCTGCAGTGAGAAGAAGCTTTAAGTCAATTTGACCCTGAAGGCACCAGAGCAGCTCTGTTCTTCTCCCTCATTTCAACAAGGATTTCCCTAAATAGAATGTTATTGTCCCCCTATGGGCCAATGGAATAACTAGCCCAACCAGTCCTTCCTGTTGTACAGAGAACCAGAACTACTGTGTCTCTTTCTCTGAAGGAACATACATCAGAGAAAGGGTGAGTTATGCCTTATATCTAAATAAAACAGGCCTGGTCCTTAGCTTACCCCAACATAACTTTTGTTTACCACAATGGGTTTATATGCAGATACTAGAAGCAGTGCCATTAAAGTTTATAAGAGTCCAGTTTGCCTTTCTTGAGTTACAATGCTGAACGACTGCTTATGAATCACCAAAAGGGCTGAAAAAGTCTGCTAAAGTTTATCTGACTTTTTTCTCTCAAGAGGATGGGAAATTTCTGCAGACTTATTCCACAATGCAGAAGACAACACAGAACTGCATCATGCACCTTCTTTAATTCAAACATGTTGGAAAGGGTGCCAGACTTGCTTGAAATGGACTCCAGGTCTTCACTGAACTTGCCCCAAGTTCAGAGTTTCTCCTTATAGTGGCAGGGTCTGTATATCATGAGATCTGGGATTTTATTACAGAAGTTCTGCCTGCCTTCAACCCAAATCCTCATTGGTGTTTTGCTGCATCCCCTCTAACACCATATTCAGCTCTCAGCTTCAGCAATCTTCCATTTCTGTGGCATATGTACATTTGTCAAGTACAGGCCCAGAAAAAGACTTGATACAGATACTCCAAGCCCCTCAGTTTTCTAATTAATACTAGAGCCACAAAGTATAGCATCTGTATAGTGCATGCCAGTTTGGGGTGCCAGAAATGACTGCAGGGAAGCAGAGTCTGTCAGTTCTACATGTGCAAAGATCTGATGTTCTCAAGTGCCGAACACTAAAAGGCCACTTGAGCCAAGGTGCTCATCGCATCTGAAAATCAGATTAATGTACATGTAAAGAGTTGTGACAGACTTCACTTCCTTGCAGTCACTTCTAGATATTGCCAGGGAGTCCCAGCATAAGGCTTCTTAGAACTATTGATATTTAGTCAGTAGATCAGATACACCATGTAGTACAGATCCCTGCATCTACCTAGATAAGCTGCCACATACACATGTGCAAACCCAGCAGTGAGTTTGGCAGGATACAGGCAGCAGGGGAAAGAGATTAGCACAGCACATGTGGGAATAAAATCTTGCCCATTCAGCAATCACTAAGAAGTTCTTACCCAGCACTGTGAATATTTATTGAAATTAAAAGTGAATTTTGTTTGCTGTGGCAGGTACTGTTGCCCTCACAAGCCCCTCAATAGCAAAAGAATTTCATAGGCAGAATTTTCTTCTAAAAGGCAGAGCTCATCTTATTTTAGAATCCAGGGTCTATGCCAAGACTTCACACTGTGCTAAATGCATTACAACATCTACCAAAAGCGCAAAATGTATTTTAAAAATGGCCAGGCAATACACAGAATAGTTGTGGTTTCTGAACACTTGCCAGGTTCTGTTAAAAGGGTTCCCTCCCCAACCCCGCCTCCCCCCCAACCCTGTAACTAATGCATGAGCTGAAAAAGATGTGTGTACTGTCTGAAATCTACTATATCAAAGCAAGCAGATTTGTCCAAATGCTTTTATGCATCGAAGCACGCTAAAATCAAAACATGCCCTTTCTATTTCACTTACCATTAATGTGCCATTATCCCGTTTCGGTATTAAATACCATATCCAGCAGTTATCTTTGACAGTTCAACAACACTGGTCGAAGCATAGCATACAGGAATCTGGTTATTTTTGGTAATGATGCTGTAAAAGGAGAAAAAAAAATCCTACTTTTTTACTAATTTGAAAAGCAGGCAGGAAGATTTAGTTCGTTCAATGGGCAGAATAAAACATTAAGAGAGAAACACAGACCCAGCATAAGTGAGCATAAATAACTCCATTGACGTTGATGGCAGACATTGACTTAAACCTGTTTGCATTTGGTACTGCAAGTAACTATCAGAGGATAAGCTCAGTGGATAGATCTGGATATAATAAGACATGACGAGCAAAACTTATACTAAAATTCCAGCTAAATTTGATTTGAGTTTGAAAATAGGTTTGGATGATTTTCTCCCATTATTTTTCAATTACAGGCACTTCTAGTGAAAAGAGCAGAGAGAAAGAAAGAGAAAAGCCAGCAAAGCAGCAGGCAGTCTTTGTGAGAGACTGAAACAGGATCAGGGTTCTCCCTAAGGAGAGAAAAATAGCTGCAGATGAGTCGAGTCAGAGAGGAATCTAGAAGAGAGCAGGAGGGAGCTTAAGAGATTAAAAAAGGCCAGCAGCAAGTGCTATTGGAACCCTCATTTCATTAAATAGATCAAAGATGACAGACCACAGGGTGTGAAACTAGAGCTGGTTAGTAATTTTCCAATGAAATGGTTTTTCAACACAAAATGTTGTTTTGGAAAAAATAAAACATTTCACAGGAATGTGTAAACCAGTTTGGACAGAAAGGCTTTGTGGGCCCAGGAAGAGATTTCTGATCAGAAAGAGTGCATGTACCCAAAAGTGTTCAGCAACCAGTGGTCAGAACACAACCCTGGTTGTGCACATAAACCAGTTTCAAAATGGCCCAAACTAGTTTAAGATAAGTCTGATACTACATTCAACCAGGTTTAACTGATTTAGGTCAAACCAGTTTATGAAACTTGTCCCAGATCCCTTCCTGGTTCAAGTTAAATCAGAGTCCCCCAGCATCCCAGCATACTTTTCAGTCCTGGGCTGGGCTCTCCTGTCTGCTCCAGAAAGCAGAGCTGTCCCTGCCCCTCTGCTCCCTAGCTGTAGTAGTGAGGGCTGGCTCACTGCCCCCCACCTCCAACAAACCCCATCTGGGGTCTGGGGCAAGGGAGGGGTTAAAATCCCCTTTCTCCAAGTATGAAGCTGCCCTGCTGGCTGCAACTTACTGCTGGCTGTGATTGTGGACTACTTGCAAGCAGGAAGAGGAAGTGATGAGCAACTCTACAGAGTTCTACTGCTGTGATTCTGGGCTGTAAATCCCAGAAACCCCAGGGGCAGCAGGAAGAATAAGTGAACACACAGCCCGTGCTGTGTTTATAGTTGTTCAGGTCATAGTTCTTCAGGGAAAGAACTATTTTTGTCTAGTCTTGGAGAGCTTCTCTCTTCTCTTCCCTTTGGTAGTGGCTGGCAGGCATGCTCTAGTGCCCCTCAGCTTCTGGCTTGAGCTGCTGCAGGCATGTGGCTGCATTTTCTGAATCAAAAGTGAATGTGAATTTGCTTATTGGTTCAATCTCCGCAGCTTAGACTAACATTCAAAGACTGAAGCAATTCAGCCTCAGGCTTTTTTACTGTCTATTTAGCCAAAAGGTTCTTTCTGTTCACCATACAAACACACACACACACACTCATTTTGCAGAAAGAATGGATCAATACTTGGATTAGACCAGATTGTTAGTGTTACAGTTTGGGCTTGTTTTCATGTGCTGTTCCATGCTACTAGAAGTCCATGTAAGCTTAGAATGGCTGTGTCATCACCACTAAATAAGTGTTGTAGGCAGGAACACCTTAGTCCAGCAAGAAAATAGCATCATAACTGCGTGCTCTCTAATAATTTGTTTTCTAGATTTTGTATCTAAATGAATAGCCTCTTCCCTAAAGCAGAATTAGCTGCCACTTTGTGCATGGCATCTTGGTGATAGGTAGCGTCCGAACAGAAAACTTACTCAAGGAAGGCTTGCTTTCTATTTTACGCGCACGCACACATGCACCTAGATAAGTAGATAAGCAGGTAGAGAGATAGTGTACATACTTCTATTTACATAAACATAGAAGATATTAAACACAGTATATAACTTTTCGGTAATCTCTCCCAATCAAGAAAGATTGTCTTCTGTGATCATCTTATCTGTGGGTCTGAAGATGACTGACAAGGTCTTTGCAAGACTTAGCATAGCTTGAGTAATATGGGCATCTTTGCAATCCCAGGCACAAACAATGAAGTCATAGAGGGACCAATGCTTATATCATGGGTGTTGCCATGATGTCTTCTGCCTGTTTTTCTGCTGGAATAGGTCCATGACATGCTGTTTCTCCCACTCCTGCTTTTTCATCTCCTGTTGTCATCGTAAGGTTTCAAAGTACTGAGATCCTTCCAGCAGACTCTTCCTCCACTTGGGGTGGTCTTGGGCAGTAGTCTCTTATGAGTTGATGTTGATGTTGCATTTTTTCAAGTTGGCCTCAAGTACATCCTTGAAGTGCTTTCTCTGCACTCCTCTTGAGCATACATCTTGACTGAGCTGGGAGAATAAGACTTGCCTTGGGAGTCTGGAGTTGGACATCCAGATGACAGGGCCAGCTCACCAAAGGCAATGTCAGATGATCATGGTCTTGATGCTCATGGTGCTTGCTTGCAAGACTATGCCAAACGTTGGTGTGTCTGTCTTCCCATTGGATTCAAAGGATCCTCTGCAGGCAGTGTTAATGTTACTTCTTCAACAACTAGAGGCATCTCCTGTACATTGTCCACATCTCAGCTCTGTACAGAAAGGAGGGGGTCACAACCACTTGATAAACCATAAGCTTGGTTTCAGATCTGTTGCAAACGCCTATTTCCGCAGGCATCCAAAGGCTGTACTTGCACATTTTAGATGATGTTGGATTTCTTCGCTGATGTCAGCTTTCTATGAGAGGTAGCTTCTGAGGTACAGGAAATACCTCTATTTTCCAGCCTCACTGTAAATTCAAATTACTGGACTGCACATTAAGAGCTTGTTGAAGAACCTTAGTCTTCTGAATATTAAGTGTCAGTCCCACTTTCTTGTGTGCCTTGGTAAAGATGTCAATGATTGCTAAAAATCCACTTCTGAGTAAGCACAGACTACAGCATCATCAGCATGCTGGAGCTTGATGACTTAACTCCCATCTTAACCTCAGACAAATCCATTACTCAGAACCACCACTAGTATCCTGTCATGGAACAGGGAAAGAATGGTGACAAATTTTGGTAGGCATCTGTACTGACAGAATTGAAGGCTTTCATGAGGTAAAATAAGACCATGAGAGGTTTTATGTTGTTCCCGGCATTTTTCCTGCAGCTGGCAAGCTATGAAGATCATGGCAGTTTTGCCTCTTGATGCCCTAACCCCACACAGATTCTAGGAGTCGCTCTTCAGCAAGTGGAAAGAGATGGTTCAAGAGGGGTCTCGCAATGATCTTTCCTGTAGTGGACAGCAAGGGGATCCCTTTCTAATTTACACAGTTGGACTTGTCTCCTTTCCTGAAGATTGTCACAATCATGCTGTCCCTGAAGTAATCTGGGATTTCCTCATCATTCCAAATCATTAAGATGAGGGCATGGAGCTGTGAGGTGAGCTCCTCTCCCTCCTCTTGAAGATTTCAGCAGGGATTCCATCAGCTCCAGATGCTTTGTTGTTCTTCATCTTTTTGATGGCTTTCCTCACTTTGTCTAGTGTTCAAGGGATAGTTTCTGACTGAGTGTTGTGGGTGGAGTTGAAAGCACTCTCATCAACAACAGAGTCTCAACTGAGAAAGTCTTCAAAATGTTCCTTCTGATGGGTGTTGATCAGAAGGAACATTTTGACCTTTCCTTGATCAGGTTTCCTCCACCCTCAGGTCTCAAGGGGCTTTGTCCCTGAGTTTTCAGACCATAGATGAAACTGAAAAAAACTGCACAAATTCACCTTACCTTCCCACCATCTGTCCTTCATATTGCAGGTCCTTCTTTGAACCTCTGCCTTGGCTCATTGGACATTCAATTTCTCTTGCTTGGAGTTGATGTCATTCTGCCACGCACAAAAGGCCTGTGCTTGCGGTCAGTCGACTCATGGATCTCCTGATTAGTCTCATCAAACCAGTCTTAATGTTTCCTGGTAGAGAATCCAAGTGTTTCTTTGCAGGCACTGATGACAGCGGGCTTGAAGGCACCCCAAGTGCTCCTGACATTCTTCCATTGTTGTTGATCAGAATTTGCCAGTTTTTCATTAAGGCACTGGTAGAAGATGTATAGCTTGATCAGGCCCTTGAGTCCTTCAACACTGATATTCCATCAGCATTGCTTCTGCTGCAGCTTTCATTTGAGAGTCAGTTTGAGTGACTTAACCAAATGGATGAGTCAGTGATTAGTCCAGCAATAATCAGCTTTTAGCATAGCTCAAGTGATGTGGACACCTTTGTGATCCCAGGCACAAACAATGAAGTCAATCAGGTGCCAATGCTTAGATTATGGGTGTTGCCATGATGTCTTGTTCCTGTTTTTCTGCTAGAACAGGGGGTTGGCGATAGCAAGTCCATGTTCCATGCATTTGATCAAGAGGAGAATGCTGCTATAGTTGACCATTACTATTTCTTCCTTGCTGATTGTTTCATTCCAGACATTTGAGTCCCCTCCAACTCTAGTACTGAAATCACTGAGAAGAATAAATCTGTCTTCCTCCAGAGGTCAGAAAGTACTTGGTCAGGGTCAGCATAGAATTCCTCCTTGGTTTCATAGGTGGCATCAAGAGTCAGGACATATGCACCGAAGACCGTGGCATATTGGCTCCCCACCAGTTTAGGATGGAGAGCCATGAGACGCTCACTAATTCTAACCGGGAACTTGGTGAGTTCATTCTTGATGGCAAAACCAACTTCGTGAAGGTGGTATTCTCCTTTCTGTTTGCCTTTGAAGAAGAAGGTATAGCTGCCTCCATGTTCTTTGAACTGCCCATCTCCTGCTCGCCAGCTCTCACTCAGTGCAGCAAAGTCAAT